TGGTGCCGGCCAATCAGCCAGCGGAGCTCACAGCCTGAATGGACGCACCTGGAAAGCTGCTGAATCTTCTATTGCGATCTTCCCCGGGACCTTTCCGAAAATCCCCCAGTGTGCCTTTCTCTTTCCCTCTCCCTCCCCTTCCCTGCCCTTAGCTTAAGATGACCCTTTAACAATTTGTCCTGTGTCCCACAGTGCTTTAAAAAAGTCCCAATTTTTTGCAGCTGGAGCTCCAGTGGTGCAATCGGTTAGCGCTCGGTATATATATATATATATATATATATATATATATATATATATATATATATATATATATATATATATATATATATAAAAAGTCCCAATCTTTTGAAAGAATAGGGACTTTTTAAAAAACACAAAACTGCTGCAGGAAGCGGGACCAACTGTTAAAAATCGGGACTGTCCCTCCAGAAGCGGGATGTCTAGTCACCTTACTTTAGCTTTCTCACTCCCAAGTCCCAGGGGGCCCTTTCGTTACCCCTAGAGCTTGTTTCCTAAGCCATTGCTTCTGGGAATTACTTTTTCTACCTCTGTGACTTACCAAAGACATGTGCTCTTACAGTCTGGGTCTTGGCTCTGAATTCTTTTCTAGCCAGAGCCCCAGTACTGAGGTTGCCGAACTTAGATTTGTTCTGACTCTGCTGGTCAGACACCGCCTACAACAGGCCGAGGGCACATGACAGTTGTAAGATACTTTTTACCTGGCCATTTCTTTTCTTTTCTTTTTTTGAGTTGGGATGAGAAACTGAAAGGAGGAGAGCCCAGGTGCCCACAGTGGCATTGTTGGGCCAGAGGAAAGCTCTGAGAGGTGTCACTCCTTGGTCACATGACTTGATGCTGTCGCATGACTTAGCTCCTTCAGCGGTTGGGGATACCCGAAAAAGAAAGTTTGAAACTTTCTCAGCAGCTTCCCGCCCCCCATCACAGGATCTAGGTCTTTGGGTGAGCTAGTCCTCCAGATCCTCCTCCTCCTGCCAGCTCCCCAAGACAGTTCTGGCCCCGGGTGCCGGCTCGCAGCACTTTACATTCTGGGAGCACACCCTGGGTTCCTTGGCATTCTTGGAGAATTTTTATTATCTCCCCAAACCATTGTTACAGATTCTGGGGTGGAAATCTCAGGGACCCTCAGTCCCACCGGCCTAACCTGGATGGAGCACAGAGGAACCAGCAAGCCCCTGGGAAGTGCTTGGCCAACATGGTTCCTTTGAACCATCTCATTCCAGCCCGTCATAGTCTTACTTGGTGCTCACTGTACGGCCAGCATTCAAACCCTAAACTCTGACCTAGCACCATAACAAACAGCACCGCACGCCGCACTGGCCAGAATGACCAGGTCACGTGGCCGTTCTGAACCTGCTTTTTCTTCACTACAACTTTGGGGTGGGCATCACTCAGTGGGTGACAGCTGGTGGGAGGGGTATGTCCCTGAAAGTGCCCCAGGCAGGAGTGCTGGAACAAACCTGCTCTGCCTGCCAGCCTTCTCCTTGGGCCCTGCTGCCCCCTGCTGGTGGAGGTCCCTCCGCCCGCCAGTGCCCATGGGAGGTCCGGAGCCCTGGGCAGACTCACTGCTTTTGGCCCTGCCTTCAGCTTTCTGCACTTGCTTCCTTAGCTGTCAAGTGGGAACTTAAGGACAGAAGGAGAGAGGCTGTGCAGAACGTCACCGCCAGGGCCTGGCCAGACAGGACTCTGATGCCCTCCTGTGGGGCAGACAGGGGAGTCCTAGAACAGCCTGTTTCGGATGCACGGGTTGGGGGGGTGGTGAACTTCTGGCGCCTGTCTTCCATTCAGTGGGAAGCCCCTCCTGGTCCTCCCACCCCATCTCCCATTCTGTTCATCTCAGCATCCGGAGAAGGCAGCTGAGTGACTATTGGGCACCGCGCTCCCCAGCTGCTGTGTCCACACTGGAGCGCCCACGGAGGACGGAGGCCTGGGAAGCAAGGACCTGGACCAGGCATGGTGTCTCCTCTGCAAACAGGAGCCCCGGGGGAATTCCAGCCCCGTCCTCCCGGCTCCCCTCACAGGGCCCAGCTGGCCTTCCAGAGAGCCTCATCCTCCTGGCCCACCCCCCTCCGAGGCTCCCTCCTCGTCACCAGGAGGGTCTGAACTCCCCCCCTCCTCCCGGGGTGTGGTGACCCGGATCAGGAGAAGGAGACCAATACCCATCCAACATGCCCACGCTTGCTCCTGCTCTGCAGGAACGGCAACCACCGTGCAGAGCAAAGAACGACCCTCATTTCATGGTTAATAACTCTAGTCAGTAGTTAACGCGGAGTGAACTCATTTAATCCAGCCTCCTTTCCCAAATAATGTCCTAGTGACTCCTCCAAGGTCACAGAGCTGGTAAGTTGCAGAACCAGGATTTGAACTCGGGAAAATGCCATACTTTCCGAAATCCGACTTTAAGCATGGAACTTGGAGGTGAAGCCCTGGGAGGCGGGGGGTGTGTGTGGGGGGGTGGGTCAGAGAGTCGGTTTTGGATCTCTCTGCTCCTCGGCTGGGTCAGGGCTTTGTCAGTCGCCCGATTCCTATGCCACTGGCTTTGGGGTGACTTCCTGGGGACCAGTTCTCATCCTCCACAGGAGCAGGAGGCCAGCGAGAGCAAAGAAGGTGACCCGGTGTGGGGAGATCTGCCAGCCACCACCCCCTCCCCACACCCAGCTGCGGGGCCCAGGGCGCTGTCCGGGCAGAGGGGAGAGAGAAGCCCCATGACTCACAGAGTGTGCCCCACCCTGTCCACCCGCGATGCCAGGGCGTGGCCTGTCCTGGAGGAGTGGCCCTGGGCCCCCACCTCTGCCCTTTGAGACCAGGCGGGGGCGGTAGGGAGAGACGAAGACTGTGGTCTGTGGCTCATCGCCCCACTGGCCTCTGGGCTTGCCTTCCCTGCTCCCACGTGTCAGGCTGGGCCTGCCCTGCCAGGTGGGGCTGTGCGGGATTGAGAGAGAAGTTTGGCGGCTGAGGAGGAGGACAACCAGCCATAATCACAACCCTGGCTCCTCCGCGGGGCAGCCAAGTGCTCACCATGTCCTTCTGTGACACCCGGGATGGCTGCATGTGGCCTGCCGCTGGGAACCCAGAGGGGCTTTCCCCCTGCTCCTCTCGCAGGGCAGCGGCCAGCAAGCTTCCCTCCCTCCCGGCGCCCCCGCCCTGCCCGCAGTCCAGCCCGGCCACCCAGTCACCTGGCCTCGACTGTGGCAGCTTGTTTCTTGTTTCTGGACGATTGCAGCTGCCCAACGGGTCTCCGGCTCCCACCTCCACCCTCCCAGACACCTGCCCGCTGCCACGCCCGCCTCTTCAGGCACCGAGGCCGGCCGCTCCCAGGGCACAGGCAGGGGGCGCCTCGGCGTGGGCGCCGTGCGCGGGAGCGAGGAAGCCGGCTCCGAGGGCCAGCTGGAGAAAGTGGCGTCTGAGCCGGCCCCTGAAGGCAGGGGCTGGGAGGAAGGATGTGCTGAGCTGGGGGAACAGCCAAGGCTGAGAGGCTGGGAGGGATGTCAGGGCTCCCCAGGCGTGGCTGGGGTGGCCGATGGCCTGGCATCCAATGGGGAAGGCGGGCTGTGGTCGGATGCAGGAGAGCCCGCGTTGCCAGCTGCGGAAGCTGGCCTTCCTGCTCTGGGCGGGACTGTGACTGTGCTCCTGTGTGCCGGGCACAGGGCGATCCACCTGAGCCAGCTCTAGGGCAGCTGGCTACCCGCTGGGAGACAAATGGTGACAGATTCTCAGGGAAAGTGAAGGAAGAAGCTAAGGGCGGGTTCCAGGCAGTTCCACTCCGGCGCCTACAGGGGGCGGGCTCGCACCCGCCCTGGACCACGTGCGTGAAGGCGTTGTGAAACAGGAGGCGGGCCACACCTGCCAGGCGATGTTGTTTTAGTGGTTACAGTTACCACCGGGCAGGGCAGGGGTGAGGGGCTGGATGGGGGTGCGAGTGGCCCTGGTACCACCTGGGACCACCTCCTGCCGGAAGGTGCTGAGGGTGTGGCCCCAGGAACAGCCGCAAGGTGGGCCCGGCTGAATGGCCACCTCCTGGCTGTGCGGTCCAGGGCTGGGGGCGTGGGGGCTCCAGGATGAGCCCTCCCCAGGGCTGGGGTGGGGAGACACACCCCTTCCTCACGTCTCAGAGGGATTTCACATCAGTTCAGGGGCCTCAGCCCCAGCACGAGGGGCCTGGCTCCGTGCCGACCATCGACCATCGGTGTGAAGGGCGGTTCGGTCACAGCCCGGGCGATAGGTCAGCGCCCGGCCCCGTCCTGCGCCGGCGGGCGATCTGGGCGGGGAGGGCCGCGGTCAGGTCAGCACGCAGCAGCCCCGGGTGATTCGCCGCCAGCGGTTGCGGCCGCGGCTGCTGAGGGCCACCTCCACGGCCTCCTGGAAGACGGCGTGGACGTTCTCCTGGAGCCGCGCCGAGCACTCCAGGTAGGCCACGGCGCCCACGGCCCGCGCCATCTCCTGGCCCTGGCGGAGAGCGAGGGCGTGAGGGGGGCTGCCGGCACCTCCCGGCTCCTCCCGGCTCCTCCCAGCCCTCCGGCTCTCCCCGGAGCCCCCGGGGCACAAGCAGAAGGTGAGTGTTTCCCGGGTCCCCATGGCTCCCGCCCCCGGGGCTGGCCAAGTGCTCTCGTGGCCTCCGTGGCTCTCTGCCTCCGTCCCGGGCTAGGTCTCTGCCTCCCCAAGTCCCGGCTCACTTCCCGGGTGCGGAGCGGAGAGGGGCCTGCAGGCTGAAAAGCCGGGGGTCTTTCCTGGGCCTCAGGTCCCCCACCTGGGATGTGGGTGGGCAGGACTATCTGATGTGCACATCACTGTTCTCCCTTCCACAGCTGGAACCTTCCAGAGTATTCTAGGGACCGCTTCCACGCACCAGCCGTCTCTGACCCCTCCCCGGCCCCACACCCCGTGTGCTGACACCTGGCGCTGCAGAGGCTGTGCTGGTCGGCATGCCCGGGGCTCCTCCTCCTGCCCACCCCCGGCCCCCCCCCTCCCCGCTGGTTTCCTACCCGGTGGTAGGTCACGGGCTCCAGCTTATCTTTCCAGAGCTTGTTCACCAGCGTCCGGTCCTTGCGCAGGTCGGTCTTGCAGCCCACGAGGACGATGGGCACCTCCTTGCAGAAGTGTCTCACCTCCGGGTACCACTGTGGGGGCGGGGGCGGGAGTGGGGTGTGTGTGTCAGCCGTTGGGAGTGCTCCCGTCTCTGCAGGGCAGGGGACAGGCTGTCCTCCTGCTCCCCGGGCAGCTCCCCAGATCGCCGATCGCCAGCACAGCCCACTTCCGGGGAGGCCGACTCTGTGCCCGGCTCTGAGACGCTCCACCTGTGGACTCATTAACCCCCCAGGCCCTGTGGTAGCAACGCCCATCGTCAATCCCATGACGCACCTGTGGAACCGAGGCCCAGAGAGGCTGTGTCACTGGCCTCGGTCACACAGCAGGAAGTGGCAGGATCTGGGCCATTCCCGCTAGAACCCTGCCTGTCTACAAGGCAAGGGCTCCCAGGACCCCCTCCTCAACCGGGGAAATACGTCAGCAGATAAGGGCTCCTTTGGAGAGAAGGCAGCTATGGCACGACTGCCCGGCTGCCACTGGCGGAGGGAGGCGGTCACCCTGAGTCAGCTGCCCTCTGGAATGTGAGGCTCCCGGTGACTCAGGCTGGACTCCAGCCCCGCAGGCTGGAGCCCACAGCCCAGGAGGGCATGCCTGCTCCGTGTGCCCGTGCAGGGAAAGGGGCATCCAAGGACCGGCTCCTGGGGCCACCTGGGCCCCGTGTGGGGGCCTGGGCGGACTCCCCACATCCCAGCCCTCCACAGAACTGCCCCCCGAAAGGGTCTCCTCCGGGACTCCACCCTGCTACTCCCCCGAGTGAGTCCTCAGCCCTCACCCCCCTGGACCCTGCCCTGGGAATCATCGCACCTGCCTCCAGACCGGCCTGCACTTCGCCCCAGAACCCCACTCGCCTGCTTCTTCCCGGGTCTTACCAGCACCCCCTCCTCAGAGCGGTGGGTGCACCTTTCCTCTGGCTGCTCTCACCCTCCAGGCGACCACCCCCCGTCCATGGCTCTGTCCGGCCCAGCCCGCTCCTGGGAAATGGCAAGTCTCCCTTCTACTTACTCTGGTCAAAGTATCTTTCTCCCACCCATGTCCCAGCCACCTGCAAATCCTGATGGTTCTGGCTTTCAAAGAGATTCAAGCCGAAACCAGTTTAGCTCAGTGGATAGAGTGTCAGCCTGCGGACTGAAAGGTCCCAGGTTCGATTCCGGTCAAGGGCCTGTACCTTGGTTACAGGCACATCCCCGGTGAGGGGTGTGCAGGAGGCAGCTGATTGATGATTCTCTCTCATGGATGTTTCTAACTCTCTATCCCTCTCTCTTCCTCTCTGTAAAAAAAATCAATAAAATATATTTTTTTAAAATAGAGATTCCAGATATACATCCACCTCTCACTACCCCCTCTGCCAGCACCATCTCAGCCACCTCCGTCTCCTCTGGCCCACAGTGCCTAGCACAGAGCCTGGCCCACAGATGTGCTGCCATCGTTTCTGAAGGGCTGCGTGGGGCAGAACGCTCGGGCTCAAATCCCTGCCTCACCACCTCAGTAGATGCGCTTCTTAGAGCAAGTGACCCAGGGTGGGGGTGATGGTAGTGTGTGCTCCCTAAGGGCGTGAGGGGGTCAGATGAGTACATACATGTGTGTCCGGAACAGCGCCTGGCACGTGGTAGGTTCTAACGCTGCCACCATCGTTGTCACTACCACGAATGCTCCCAAGAAACCTGAGCGCCACCCACACGGAGGCCCTGACACCTGTGTGCGGCGCCTGGGAGCCCTCATACCTGGGGGGCCTCCTGGGGCTGCCGAGAGCCACAGCCACACAGGTGGGGGGCTGAGAGCTGCTGGAGGCTGCCTGTTCACGTGACCTTGGTCAGGCCCAGGCGGGGGAAATCCAGGGGCCCTGGGCCGCCCCGCATTCTCAGGCGGGTCCCAGTGTTCCAGTCTGCAGGGGCGAGCAGGCGGGACCCTCCCGCCACAGCCCTGCGGACCCCTGGGGCCGGGCTTCCCCGTCTCGATGCCAAAAGCACGGGCCTGAGGTCGCCGGGCCTGCTGAGCGCTGGCAGACTGCTGGGCCCAGGGGGGTGGCAGTGGGGAGCAGTGTGGCCTGGCTTTGGGGTTCTGCCTCCCCCATCCCCCCAAGCACCTACCCGGGTAGCGACGTTCTCAAAGCTGTTGGGGCTGGTGACATCGAAGCAGAGCAGCACCACACTGGCGTCCGGGTAGAAGAGGGGCCGCAGGCGGTCGTAATCGACTTGTCCTGTGGGGCCGGCGCGTCACTCCCTCCAGACTCCCTGCTGCTGCAGCGCCTCCCACAGCCCGGCCCCGGAGCGCGCGTGCGTGCGTGTGTGCGTGCGTGTGTGAGCGTGTGAGTGTGTGTGTGCATGCGCGTGTGTGCGTGTGTGTGTGTGTGCGTGTGTGTGTGCAAGTATGTGCGTGTGTGTGTGTATGCGTGCGTGTGTGAGAGTGTGTGTGTGCGTGTGTGTGAGTGTGTGTGTGAATGAGTGTGTGTGAGTGTGTGTGTGTGTGTGTGTGTGTGTGAGGGTGTGTGTGTGTGTGTGTGTGTGTGTGTGTGAGTGTGTGTGTGTGTGAGTGTGTGTGTGTGTGTATGTGAGTGTGTGTGAGTGTGTGTGTGAGTGAGTGTGTGTGTGTGAGTGTGTGTATGTGAGTGTGTGTGTGAGTGAGTGTGTGTGCCAGGCCTGGGTGGGACCATTTGCAGGGACATCCCTGTTTCGGAGGTCGGGGCAAGGCAGAGGCCCCGCCTGGAGGGACTGCCTTGCCCAGGGCTCGGGGCCTGGGGCGAGGAGCAAGGCAGGCGATCCCCCGGAAAGACCCCAGGGAGGGGCTGCTGGGACGGAGGCTAGCTTTGAGCTCTGACGGAAAGATGACTCTGACCCCTTGTGTGGGCAAGGTCAGGAGGCTGGAGGGCAGAGGTCAAGGTCAGGCAGATCTTACAGAGCTCAGCCGCGGTGGGATGCTGAGGCAGGAACAGCCCAGCCCGTGAGAGCAAAGGGCTCCGGGCTCTCCCTTGCTCTGGGGCGTGGCCAGCTGCCCTGGGGTGGGGGCGGCCGTGGACACAGGCACAGAAGCAAGGCGGGTTCCGTTCCTGGGGGCCCTCATCCCGGCCCACCCCTGTCCCTTGGAGGTTGGGTGGCCTCCCCGTTCCGAAGGAAGGGAGCGGAGCTTGGCTCCCAGCCCCTGGGGCCCCCTCCACCCTGTCCCCCCCGCCCCCCCCCCCGGCCGCACCCCACCTGCGGTGTCCCAGATCTGGAGCTTCACAGGTTTGCCCTGCGTCTTCATGTTCACGTTGAACCGCTCAAACACCGTGGGCGTGTAGCTCTGGGGAGGAAGGGGGCACGGGAGATGGTGAGGACAGCTTCTGAGGGGAGCAGCCCCAGGGCCGACCGGAGCCCGGAACGCCTGCGGCACTGCCCGCACGGGCAGCCGGCAGAGGGTGGTGGTTCCTGGAAGCGGTCTGGTGGGGCTGAGGCCTAGAGCCGCCCCTGCCCAGCAGCGTGCCCGGCAAGACCCCAGGCCCCGTCTTCCCTCCTCGGCTGTAAAGTGGGGGCATGGGGAGTGGCCAGATCCTCCCCACGGAGCCCGGAGCACAGGGCCCGGCACTAAATACACCCACACCTGCCGGCCACGGCCACTTTTGTCTCTGTCCCTGGTCAGGGGACAGCACCATGGCTGCGTCTGCTTCCTGCTACCCTCCTCCTAGAACGGCATTAACCCACGTTTGTTCGTCCGCTCATTCGTTCATTCATTCATTCATTCGTTCATGCGGTACATTCGGTCATGAGACCGTCTCCAGGTCCAGTTCTGGACACTGGGAACAAGAAGTGAACAAGCCCTCACTGGTGTGGCTCAGTGGATAGAGCGTCGGCCTGAGGACTCAAGGGTCCCAGGTTCGATTCCGGTCAAGGGCATGTTCCTTGGTTGCGGGCACATCTCTCATCGATGTTTCTAACTCTCTATCCCTCTCCCTTCCTTTCGGTAAAAAATCAATGAAATATATTTTTTTTAAAAAGAAAGAAAAAGAAATGAACAGGGCTTGGTGCCGGAAATGAACAAGACTAATGCCTTCCAACCTCTCACAATCCAACCAAATTCCCTGTCCAGTGCCACCCCCTCCAGGACCCCCTCCCCCAGGCCCTGGTTTCTGCCCTTCTTATTTGCCCTGTCTGGGCTCAAGAGAAGGTCACCAGCCCCTATCAATCCCTCCCGCTCGGGCCCCTGTCCCCACCAGCCTGTGAGCGGAGGGCAGAGGCCTGGTGAGCTCGGAGCTTGGCCACCCACCCCCAGGAGCGGGTCCTGGCGGGCAGACACCTGTCAGCACTTTGCACATGCCTGTGGAGACTGCATGGCACCCCCATGCTCGCGGGATTCCCGGTGGGAGTCCCTTTACCCGCACCGTCTCCGACCCTGCAGCCTGGGAAAGCCAGGCGTGTCCCCATTTTCCTGATGAGACACTGAGGCCCAGAGAGGGGAGGCGACTTGCCCAGAGCAACGCAATGGACAGCTGGCTAACGACGGAGGCAGGCTTGTTCCGAGGTCACCAGCCCCGGGGTCAGGAGGGACGTGGGGCTGGGCTGCTCCTCTCTGACCAGCAGCTGTCACCGCCCTTCCCCTGTTCCGGAATGTTATCCCGGAGGCTCTGTCTGCGTCTTCTCTCGTGTTCTTTGAACCCCCAGGCAGGGCCACTCTGCCCATCACGGCGACGGCGCCTAATCTTATCTGCTGAGCTGTCCTCACCACGCAGGCAGGGCCCCGTCTGGGCTAGGCCGGGGCAGAGATGACTCAGGCGCGGGGCTGCCCTCATGAGGCTCACAGTCGGGGAGACGGATCGTTACAGAATGGGGACACAGCTCAGGAGAGGAGAGGCAGGCCTGGCCAGCGTGACTCAGGGATGGAATGTCGACCTGTGAACCAGAAGGTCACGGTTCGATTCCGGGTTTGGGGACATGCCTGGGTTGTGGGCTCCATCCCCACTAGGGGACAGGCAGGAGGTAGCTAATCAATGGTTCTCTCTCATCATTGATGTCTCTCTCTGAGAGAGAGAGAGAGAGAGAGAGAGGGGTGAGTTGGGGGCTTCCCTGGACAGACCAGCACAGCCATGGAGTCCCGGGCTGGAGGAAGGCTCAGCTGGCTCTGCTGGGCTCCCCTGTGGGAATGGTGGCCGCCATAAATGTCAGCCAGGAGCTCCCTGCCTCAGGAGCCCTCTTACTCTGCTCCCCCCTCCCCCACACCCCAGGTTGGGGCACAGCCGAGGGTCTCCGAAGCCTCTCCGAATCCCAGCCTGCTCTCTGCTCTTTGCTGCAGGCAAGAGGCCTGGGAGATGGGGCCCCAAGTCTCCTCGCTCCAGGCTGTCTGGGCCAGGAGGAGGCATCCAAGGTCAGGAGCAGGGAGGGCTGGGCCCCGCAGGCAGAGCGCCGGGGGCTGCGGAGAGTGTCCTGGTCAGGGGTGGGAGACGGGTGGTAGGCCAGCATGGCCACTGCCGGGTTCTGTGCTCCAAGGGAAGACTCTGTCTCCCTGGCCTCAGTTTCCCCACCTGTAAAATGAAGGCCTTTCCAACTCTCAGATCTTGTGTTTCTTTTATTAGTTTTATTTCTGTTAATCCTCACCCGAGGATATTTTCCCTTTGACTTTTAGAGAGAGTGGTAGGAAGGAGGAGAGGCAGAAACATCCATGTGGGAAAGACACAGGGATTGGCCGCCTCCCGCATGCATCCCAACGGGAACTGGGGATTGAGCCTGACCAGAATGTCTGCAGGCTGGCACTCTATCCAGTGAGCCACACCGGCGAGGGCCCTTGTGCTCCTTTTAAATGAAGAGGCCTCTCTGGAGTCTGGAGGCAGAAGAGTGCCGGTGAACTCAGGGTCCCTCAATAGAGAGGAGCCCAGACAAGGGCAGGTCCATCCCTCAGTTGACAAACATGCCCCCCTTGGCCAGCTCCTGTGTGTCCTTCAATACACCCAGCTCATCAGCTGTGAGATGCTCAGTTCCACACGGTGACCTCTCTGGCATCGGGATGGGTCTCACCCTCAAGGACACTGGTCTCAGAGCCCAGGGCACTGTGGGGAGGCCACCTCTGCCAGCCCCTCTCCTGGGACCCGCCGGCCTGGCCCCTCTCCTGGGACCCGCAGGCCTGGCCCCTCTGGGGTGCTCTCCCCGCGGAGCTGTGATTGCTGGGGTCGCCCGGGCAGCATCGGGGGGCCTGGGAACACATCCCTCACAACTTTTTAAAAAAACGTGACCGGCCAAAGGAGGTGACATCAGCTCTGCAAACCACACGCGTCAGCTCGACGCTGCCACAATGGAGAGAAAGGCCTGACACGGCCACTGGCCTCAGTCTCTCCTGCCTCCCCCATCCCTCTCCCGACGCCCACAGCCCGGGGGTGGGCAGGGTCCTGGGAGAGGCAGGAGGGAGAAGAGACGCAAAGCAAAGCCATGCCCCGGGGGGGCGGCATGGTGGCGGGTCTGCCCTGGTCCCGGGGCCCAGCCCGTCTGCCTGGATGTCAGCGAGCTCGCTGCTGACGGAGGGACGGTCAGCACTGCGCGCCACGGACATGCCAGGCGCCCAGTGGTGTCCTCTCTCAGCCTTCCTTTAGCTCCGCCGCCCACCGCCCACGAGGCTGTATGGGAAACTGAGGCTCAGAGGCTGAGCAATTACTGAGGGCCAGAGGATGCCAAGGTGCCCGCCAGCTGTCTGACTTGACTCTGGTGTGCTCTAACCCTCCAGGGCAGAGCCTGCGGGGTGTGTGTGTGTGTGTGTGTGTGTGTGTCCACTGCAGGGGCGAAACGGGGAGAAAATACGATGTTTCCCAAGAAAGACCTTGGCCGTGTTTGGCGCGTCCTTCCCGTGGCAGATGCCGAGCTGAGCCGGTGACCTGCGTGGACTCGCTCCCCACAGTGCCCCCGGGGACGGGCACCGCCATCACTCCGAGGATGCCATTCGCACACAGGCAGAGCGAGGGCAAGGGACGTGCCCAGGGGCGCGCAGCGGGGACTGGCAAGGCCGTCACTCGAACCCAGGCAGCGGGCTCCAGAGGGCAGTTCCCCGGGCCAGGCGGTGCCACCAGGGGCTCCCCTCCCGGGTGCCCGGTGACGCCTCCCAGGGAGGGGCTGTTCTCCCAGGTGACCCCACAGAGGCCGCCCCCCGAAGGCAGAGAGAGAGAGCCCCGGGCGGCCAGAGAGAGAGCCCCGGGCAGCCCGCTGGCGGGCGGCGGGCACACCCCGCAGCGACCCGGCCCCCGGGCGCCGTGCCCGGCCGCACTCACCTCGGGGAAGTCCCCGGCGGCGAAGACCATCAGCAGCGACGTCTTCCCGCAGCCGCCGTCGCCCACCAGGACCACCTTCACCGACGCCTCCTCGCCCGCGGCCTGGGCCGCCTTCATCGCGGGCGCCGGCCGGTGCGGGCGGGCGGCCGGGGGGAGGCCGGGCGGGCGGCCGGGGGGAGGCCGGGAGGGAGGCCGGGAGGGAGGCCGGGAGGGAGGCTGGGCAGGAGGCCGGGAGGGAGGCCGCGGTGGAATGTGGAAGGGGCGGGGCGGCGGGAGGAAGTCGGCGGGGCCAGGCGGGGCGGGGGACGGGCAGCGGCCGGGAGTCCAGGTGAGAGGCCCAGCCGGCCGGGCTGCGCTGGGCGGAGAGGCGTGGCGTCGGGGCTGGAGTGTGTGTGTGTGTGTGTGTGTGTGTGTGTGTGTGTCCGTCCTTTCCCTCCCACCCCATTCAGTCCCCCTGCAAACTTCCTGGAGCACCTACTGGGACCCCCGAGGGGCACCCAGACCCAGCTCTGTCCCTGGGGAAGCCTGGTCTGCTGGGCGTGGGGAGGGACAAGCAGCTGGACAGGGCCAGTGGGGGCAGGGGTGCGGGCAGGGAAGGAGAAGGAGGCGGGGGCAGCCGTGCTTGCCCACCTGCTTGGTGGGGGCAGGGACTGGGTGCCAGGTGCCCAGCACAGGTGGAGCACCTGCGGACGGGACTGGGAGGAGGGGATGAGTGTACGGGTGCTGAGCTCGGAGAGGGAGAGGGGGCATGGCCCCTGCAGGCGCCTCTGGCCGGGGCGGTAGGACTGCGGTGAGCTGGGCCCTCCCCCAGCCAGCCAGCACCAGGAAGTTCCTCTGCAGGTGGGCGGCCACCTGTCACTCTGGGAGGGAGGGGGGGTAGGGGGGGAGTATCTGGGGAAGCGATGGAATCTTCCACCTGTGAAGTGTTTAGACCAGGATCTGGGGCATGTTTGGCGCCATGTGTGTGATCCTCACGATTTAACCAACACGGATGGTCCCTCCGTGCCAAGGGCCAGGGGACCCTGAACTGTTTAAGACACAGTCCTGCCGAAGCCAGTGTGGCTCAGTGGGTAGAGCGTCGGCCTGCGGACTGAAGGGTCCCGGGTTCTATTCCGGGCAAGGGCATGCCCCTTGGTTGCGGGCACATCCCCTGTGGGGAGTGTGCAGGGGGCAGCTGATCAATGACTCTCTCTCATCGATGTTTCTAACTCTCTATCTGTCTCCCTTCCTCTCTGTACAAAATCAATAAAACATATAAAAAAAAGAAAGAAAAAAAGACACAGTCCCTCCCCTGAGAAGCCCATGCCTAGACGGGAGACACAGAGGCTCCGAGTGATGAGAGCTACCCCAGGGGTGGGGACAGGCAGTGGATGGTTGTAGGGGAGAGGGTCCCCTCAGCCGGGTTGGGGGACCAGGAAACACTTCTGAGAAGAGGGACCAGAGTCGAGGGAAAAGTAAGAGTCAGATGGGGGAGGGGAGAGATGTTCCAAGCCGAGGGAACAGAACATGCAAGGAGCAGGGGCAAGAGAGAGGGGTTGCTTTGGGGCTCAGTGAGGGCGGGTGGCCTGGGGAGCTGGTGTGGGGGTGGGGGGGAACTGGACACTGGAGCCCATGGGGGTCAGGAGCACATGCAGAACCTGACCACCCGGCCCTGTCAGTGACCAGCACTGAAACCTACACAATGCACACGAGAGCCTCCCAGATGCTGACCGAGTGTTTCCATTAACGCGCAAGGAAACGGGGCAGACGTCTGCGCGCCTCCCTGCCCCCCAAGTCCCCCACTCAGGTCATGATGTCACCGGTACGGGGTTCAGAGCTGGGCACGTGAGAGCGCACCCTCGGCCCTGGCCGGTGTGGCTCAGTGGCTGGAGCATCGCCTGTCCACGGAAAGGTGGCGGTCCGGTCAGGGCACATCCCTGGGTTTAGGGCTGGATCTAGCGGGGTGGCAACCAATCAGTGCTTCCCTTTCACATCAATGTTTCTCCCCGCCCCCCTTAAATCCATGACGGCGTCCTCGGTGCGGGAAAAGCCCGCTCAGCCTTCTCTGAAGCTCACTGTGACCCAAAGGGGCAGCCTGCCCAGAGGCAGAGCCAGACCCCGGACCCTGACTCAGCTTCAGGCTCACCCAGGCCAGGTCAGCAGAGGGAAGGGAGCCTCGCCTGGATGGAGGAAGCATCCTAGGACTGCCCTGCCCGTCAGTGCCCCTCCCTCCCCGAAACTGCCACAGGGCTGGGCAGTGGCTTGACACAGGGCTGAGCAGGGCTCCCCGCCCCAAGGAGCGGTGGGGAGGGGCCCGTCCCCCCACCCCCCAGTGACGTCTTCCCCGGGGCTGCTGTCACCAGGCTTTGGGTGGCACGGCAGGTGCGGCCAGGCTGGGTGGAGGAGCCGAGAACCAGGCAGAGGCTTTGGCCTTGGTTGCCATGGGGATAATCACGCGGACACTCTCGGCGTGTGTCACGCTTTGCAGTTTCACTGAGCATTTCCTAACGATCACAGCACCCGCCAGCGGCTCCCTGACCCTGTGCAGGTACGCTCCCCGGCCGGCGGGGGTTGTTGGCCCCATTTCACAGGTGAGGCACCTGAGGCCCAGAGAGCTTAAGCGCTTGTCTAAGATCCACAGCCAGGAAGAGGCAAAATCCCAGGTCTGACCACAAAGCCCACTCTCTCCCGACATCACACCTCACTCACATGCGTGAGGTCATCCAGCCCTCAGGTCTACTGATGTCAAGCCCCAGCTCTACCCCCACTCTGTGCTCCGGCTTCCACAGGAGGGAGAGGAGGGCCAGGAAAACCTGCCCCGGTTGGCAAGGAATGTCCCCACGTCTCAGGCATGGCTGGGCCCCGGACGGCGGTGTTTTCCTGGCGTTTATTTTGGAGGGAGGAGGCGGCCCAGGCCAGTTGGCCCGCCAGGGAACGGGTATGCTGTTTACTGGGACACTGTTTTGTGTGGTTGCCGATTACTGCCAGCCTGTGGGTGACTCAGCCTCTTAGAATCCCTCTGGCCCCAAGCCCAGAGTCCTTTGGGAACCCCAAGTGGTGGGGCACAGCCCCAAAGACCCTAGAAAACAGAGATGGCCAGGCCGGCCCTCCTTTGGCTCAGGATGTTATGTCCAATCGGCTGCTTGGCTGGACAAATGGGAAGAGAAGGAAAATGATGGAGCCGGGGAGAGAGGAAGGAAAGAAGGAAGGAAGGAAAGATGGGCTGACTCAGTAAGCAACGTAATGAATGGAGGAACAAACGGTCGCATGCGTGAGTGAACAAGCGCATGACCAGAGTTCAGGGCCAGCGGACAGGTGACCTCCATCTGCTGCGTCTTCTGACACCCCCACCCCCAGCCTCCCTGAGGCCCAGCGTCCCCTTCCGTTCCAGCTGAGTCTCTGCTGCCCCCCTGTGGTGGCCCTGCTCCCTGCACCGTCATCACAAGCTCTGCTTGGGGTTCCTGGCTTGGGGTGTGGGGTGTGGGGTGTCGGGTGTTTCTGGATGAATGAAGGGGAGGGACAGTGGGTGCCAGGGCCGTGGAGCTTCAGAGTCCAGTGCTGCCCTGGAGAAGGCCTGGGCCCTTCGCTCCTCACACCTCCCTGTGCACCTTCCCTCCCTGTCATCCCAAACACCAAACCCCAGGAGGAACGCCACCCAAAGCCGTGGCCTCACGTCACTGCGCACCTACTGAGGTGCTCATTTTACTCCCTCCAGTGAAGTGTGTATGATTCATTTTTTAATATATTTTATTGATTTTTAAAATATATTTTATTGATTTTATACAGAGAGGAAGGGAGAGAGAGAGCTAGAAACATCGATGAGAGAGAGTCATCAATCAGCTGCCTCTTGCACACCCCCTACTGGGGATATGCCCGCAACCAAGGTACATGCCCTTGACCAGAATCGAACCCGGGACCTTTCAGTCCACAGGCCGACGCTCTACCGCTGAGCCAAACCGGTTTTGGTGAAGTATGTATCATTCTTAAACTCTTTGACAATCGAGGAAACTGAGGCCCCAGCCCCAGCTGCTAAGTGGCGGGCTTGGGCTCTAACCCAGGTAATGGGGCGCCAGAGCCTTTACACACAGAAGCCCAGCAGTCAGAGGATGGGGGGCCGTTAGAGACTTTTTATCCAATATGCTCATTCCGGGGGAAACAGGCTCTGGAGAGGAAGGGCTTTATCACACAGCGAGGAAGCGGCAGACACAGGTCTGGGGCAGGCAGAACCCAAAAGGGCCTCTACTCTCTAGTGTCCTTCTGTGGGGCTCCCCAAGACCAGCTCAGCCTCAGCGGCCACTTGGCTGGAGCCCAGGGCTGGGGACGCAGCCCTCTGCCCCTGCCTCACCGTTGACCCTCTGGGTCCGAGGAGAAGGCGGATTATGGGGTGGGAGAGGCGGGGAGCGAGGCCGCCCCGTGATTTGTGTTTGTTTAGCCATCGGAACCGTCCCTTCCGGTGTCTGCAGTCCCAGACGGCCGCGGGCAGGGGAGAGGAAGGACAGTCTGGAGCTGCAGGCGCTGTGGGCGATAAGCCGGCTGGCCCTGCCCCTCCCGCATGCGGGCCTGCCTGGCCGTGCTGCTGGCCGGGTCAGCAACCTCCACGCCTGTCCTCCCGGGTAGGGCTCCGTCTATCGCTGAAGGCTCCCTGACAGAGGGCCGGGGTGGAGGGAGGGGGAAGGTGGGGGAGAGAAAGAAGAGGCAGAAAGAGATGGGAGCAGCTGGGTCTGGGCCCTGGTGAATGAATTTAAAACCTAAAGGCATGCCAAAGCCGGTTTGGCTCAGTGGATAGAGCGTCGGCCTGCAGACTGAAGGGTCCCAGGTTCGATTCCGGTCAAGGGCATGTACCTTGGTTTCAGGGACATTGCCAGTAGGGGGTGTGCAGGAGGTGGCTGATCGATGTCTCTCCCTCATGGATGTTTCTAACTATCCCTCTCCCTTCCTCTTGGAAAAATCAATAAAAATATATTTAAAAACCAACCAAACAAAAAAACCCTAAAGGCAGCCTGGACCTGCCCTCACAAACCAGAGCAGCCTGCTGGTGCCCCTCGTTTCCACAGCTGCTTAGTGTCCCCCTCCCCGCCCCCTCCCTCTGTGGCTCCCCACGGCCAGCGGGACAAGGACCTTCGGCCTCCACCCTCAGTGCAGCCACGCCTGGCCTCTGTTCCCAGACACAGGCCACACTGTGCCGGCAGCGCCCCCGCCTGGCGGACCCTCTCCCTCCTCCGCGTGTCCAGTCTGCCTGCCCTGCAGAGCGGAGCTCATGTCTCCACGCCCTCTGAGCTTCCCTGGCGCCAGCCTTCACAGGCTCCTGCCTTCACAGGCTCCGGCGACAGCCTGGCTGGCCGGCCACCGGTCCCCACACAAGCTCTTTATCAGGCCTACAGTGGGGGGATGCCCACCCAGACCCTCCTCCTCCCATGCTCGCTGTGACCTTCCCGGGAGGTCCGGGGACGGGGAAACCACAACAGCCTGGGATCCAGAGCGGCCTGTGTGTGCCCTCAGCCCCCCTCCTCAGGAGCTGGGGCGGGGGCAGTGCTGCCCAGTGGTGAAGAGCATGAGCTCTGGAGCCTGAGCTTGAATCTCAGCTCTAAGCCTTTTAGGCTGTGTGACCTTGGGCTCGTGACCCAACCTCTCTGAGCTTCCGTTTCCATAGCAACAAAAAGGAGATGACACAGTACCTACTACAAGTGTTAGAGTAGCAGGCTGCACAGCAGCATTCAGGGGCTCATACAGCCCCTCTTCCCCTTCCTTCCCCCCAGATCTTGCCTCTGGCTCCTTCCCCGGCCATCCTCCCTAAGGGCTTTAGCAAGGTTGATGTGTCAGCTGAGCTTTTGTCTGCCCCTGCTCCTGCGCTTTCCCATATGCTCCTCCCTCTGCCAGGAATGCTTTTGGGGCCTCATCCACCCTCTTTGGCTTTCTGCCACTTCTTGCCCAAAGGCTCAGGCTGGCACCACCGCCGGGAAGCCCTCCTTGATTTTCCCACTGCCATCCTCCCCACCAGGCCTGGCTCGTGGCCCCTTCTCCGAGTCTCCCAAGCAGTGTGATGGGGTTGGTCCTGGTCATGCCCTCCCAAACCATATGGGGGCCGCCTCTCCCTGTCCCTCCCCCAGCTCCGGGCGCCCCGCAGCAGGCCCGAGCCCCTGGTCCCGAGCAGAGACGAAGGTGTTTGGGCTGAGCAGGGCTCCGGGGAGCCCCCTCCTTCCTGCCCCAGCTTTATTTCGGTTCTAGAATCATTCCAGTCAGCATACTCAGTCCCCACCACGCCCCGTCCCGGTGCACAGTCCACACGTCATGCAGTTAGAGGGAGGGAAGGGCGGGCAGCGGGAGTCATGCCTGCCCTCAGCCTGGGGCGGGAGGCCTGGGCTCCCCAAGGCTGGGGAGGCTCGCCCGCCGGGTGTCCCGGACCCTGTGCTGGCCTGGGCCGGGCAGACCGCCAGGTGCCGGGCCCTGGCCGTGTCCCATTGGGACAGCCACAGTCCTGCTCTAGTCCCCATCCACCGAGGCCCACCACTGTGGTCCAGCCGCCCTCTCCTCCACATCATGGGATAACCAGGGGCCTGGGTGTCCATGCCTCACCAGGGCCGGCGGCAGCCAGCCCGGGCGCCCCTGTGCTCCCCATGATTGCCACATGGAGTAGATGCTGCGTCCCCGCCCCCCCTCCTCTTCCCCAGTCCCTTTGAACCAGAGCCCTCAGCTCTGGGGGGTGCACGGCTGCCCCTCTCTGGGGTTGTCTGTGGGGATGGAAGCGGCCTCCACCAGGGACCCTTCCTCCAGCCGGGGGTGGGGCAGAAGCCAAAGAGCGTGCCTGTGGGTGACAGCCCAGCCCCTTTCCTCCTGAGCAGGACCCCCTGGGTGCCCTTCCCCAGCCGCAGGCGAGGCTGGACACGTGAAGCCACAGCTCACTCGCCGTCCGGCCTCCCTCTCCCTGACGGCTTCTCCTGAGGGCTGTCCCCCGACACCGCCCGCGCCCCTGAAGCCTCTCCTCGGGATTCGCTTTGGGGACGTGCCCCAGGAGCCCTCTTCCCAGCCTCAGCGTCCGTCCCGGCCCCCCTTCACTGCCACTGCTCAGGCCGGCTCCCTCCCGGCCCAGCCCACGGTCTCCTGCTGATCTGCCGCGTCCTCACCCACAGACCTTGCCGTCTGTCCTGGCCGCCCCACCGCCCCCGTCCCCGTCCCCCCCAGGCTGAGATGTCTCTCCCCCACAGGGCCTGGCGGAAGGACCCCCACAAACGCTGGGGGGCCCAGGCTGGAGCAAGTGGGACTGAGCGCAGGGCCTGGGCCGGGGCCGCCGCGTCTCCTAAGGGCCGTCCGTGTTCAGGGAGCAGGTTTCAGAGGATGAGCCAGAGCCAGAGTCCCCTGTGGCCTGCGGGCCTCTGCCCGGCCCGGCCTGGCCTGGACTCTGGGTCTCGTCTCCTGCCCGGGGGGCCCTTGCGGCCATCACAGAGGGCTGAGGACCGTGTGCAGAGACGTCCCCGTCCCTCGGTCACTCTCAGTTCTTGTCCTTGTGCCTCAAACCACAGCTCCCCTGTCACCCTCTAACATCGTGTCCCCCACCCCCGCCCCAGCCCTGCCTGCTGGGCCACCGTTCACACTGAGCAGGTCACCAGGCAGCGGCTCTTGTCTTCCTGGCGTCCCTGTTAGAGTCTGCGTCTTGTTCCCGTCATGCCCGCTGGTGCCTGCACGGTGCCTGGGCCCCCGCACATGCTCTGCTCATTGAGTGGCCCAGCGTGGCGCTGGCTCTCCGCCAGGGCGGGGGGTGAGGAATCTGAGAGGCTAAGGCCATCCCAGGCCGAGGGGCAGACCAGTTGGGGAATCTCAAAATGGGAGGACAAGGGGTCCGTGTCCAGCTCCAGCTGGTCCTCACGGGAGAAGCTCTGGGCCTTTCTCCACTGCAGCCTAGAGAGAGGGACCGAGATGGCCCACGGGGAGTCCCCCGGGGGGACCCCAGCCTTCACGGCTTCAGCTGGGCAATGGCGGAGGGTGTCACCGCCGGCCTGGCCCCCGCTGCTAGTTTCGCCGGACGGGATGCCACATGGACACGGGCCTGCGCAGCGTGGCCAGCATCTGGTTCCAGTGGGTGGTGCCCATGCCGCTCGCCGCCGGCCCGATGATGACGTGGCCGATGTTGTCCCCACGGCCGTCGCTGGTGCTCTCGGCCACGGTCACGCGGAGGGACAGGTCCTGAGGAAGGAGTGACATGAGTGCCGGGGACCAGCGGCAGCACCGGAGGCCCTCCACGGCGTCTGGGCCCCTGCGGGGTGCCAGCACCGCTCTCTGCACCCTCATCTCCGACCTGCCTAACCCACCGGCTTCTGCTGCCTCCCTCCCTTCCCTCCCTCCCTCCCTCCACAGCGGCAGCATCAGGCGGCCCAGGGGCAAACGCCACCTCACCCCTTCCTTGCTGCGTGTCCTTGGGCAGTGACCTGGCCTCAGTTTCCCCATCTATAAAATGGTGATAAGAGCTGAAACCGGTTTGGCTCAGTGGATAGAGCGTCGGCCTGCGGACTGAAAGGTCCCGGGTTCGATTCCGGTCAGGGGCATGTACTTTGGTTGCGGGCACATCCCCAGAAAGGGGTGTGCAGAAGGCAGCTGATCAATGATTCTCTCATTGATGTTTCTAACTCTCTATCCCTCTCTCTTCCTCTCTGTAAAAAAATCAATAAAATATATTTTCAAAAAAAAAATGGTGATAAGAGTAGCTGTTCTCGGAACGAAATGAGTTACGATGTGAGGAACTTGGGAAGGTGCCTGTGCCCAGGCAGGCGTCAGCACGCCTGTGGTTCCTAATACAATCGTGGGCGGGACACAGCCGAGGAGGGGAAAGAAGCTGCGTGAGGCCAAAGGAGTGAAGCCGGAGGAAGTGTCCGGCCCCTGGGGCTGTGGCAGCGTGGCCCGGGGCCCCCGGGGGAGGCAGGGCCACCCAGAGGCGCTGGGAGGTGTGCCTGGGTTAGGGACACGCAGACTGAGGCAGCACTCCGGGCTCTCCCCTGTGGACAGGGGGCCCGGAGGGGAGATGAGTGGGTTTCTGTGCAGCCCCGGGGCGAAGAGGCAGCGTTGGCTCACGGCACAGAAGGACGTTCTGGCTGCCAGGGGTGCCGGGATGGAGGGTGGCAGTGGGGGGAGGCGGCGAGCTCCCCACGCTCTGAGGAATGCAAACAGCACTCCTGGAGCGGCCCAGGTCACAGCGTCTGCCATCTCCCTCTGCTGGTCGGGGGTCACCTCCTGAGGGCCCGGGGGCTCGGGGGGGCTCGGCAGAGCTTCTTCGGGGAGAACTCTGCCCCGGGGCCAGCGCTGGCTCGTCTCCCGCTCTCTGCAGTCTCCTCCCCCAGATTTCAGCTCAGCCGAGCCCTCCTGCAGAGGGTGCCCTGGCCGCCCACAGCTGGCATGCTCTCAGCTGATTGGGATTGCTCAGGGACCTCCCTGCCTGGCCCCCGGGGGTACCGAGGAGGCAGTGCCCATGCCCCCACACCCACCAGAGGGCTGGGATCCAGGAGGCGCTACATCAGTGCTTTTTGACCGCATGGCTTGCGGCAAACCATCAGCGCCTGCAGGAGCCCCGGGAGGCCAGGCCGCAGGGGCTGACGCGGCCCCAGAGCCGCGGGGTGACCCGGCCGCGTCCCCCCTCACCTGGAGCACGATGGCCGGCACTGAGAAGATCATGGCCTCATTGAACACGGGGTTGGGGTCGTCCCTCTTCACGGCGGTCCTCTTTTTGCTCATCTTCCTCCCGTCCTGCAGCAGGTACACCTTCACGTAGGGGTCTGGGTGGGCGAGGGGGTGGCGGTGAGGGCCAGGGCCACGCTTCCCTGGCACAGCCCTGCCCATCCCAGGGGCCCGCTCGCTCTGAACTGCCCACATCTTAACAGTCGCCACGATGCACTGTGGTCCTGCCACTGGCCCTTCCTTCCCTTCCTGTTCGGTAGCTGGGGAAACGGAGGCTCGCACGCAGAGAACAGCTGGGCTTGGGCACGGGCAGCGTGCCGCCCGGCCCAGCGCCTGCTCCTCTCCGTGACGCTCCGAGGACTTGGCAGACCCGCCCGCCTCGTTCTATAACCAGCTGAGTCAGCCGGCACCTGCTCGGCGGGCTTTGACTCAGCCGTGTGGGGGGGCTCCGAGATCACAAGTCTCCGCCTGTCCTCACCTACCGCCCGCCGGCTGTCCTCGCTGCACCTGCTGGACCCCGGCTTCCCCCAGGCTCCCGTGGGCTGGGACCCCGGCCTCTGTCACCTGTTCCCAGGGGCCGGGGGCTCCTGTAGACCGGGGCACTGGTCCCGCCTGGCACGCACCCCGTCCCAGTGGCCCTTCCCCCATCTGAGATCTGGAATGCAGTCCAGCCTCTGGGCCCGGAGCCTCCATCATGAACTGCAGGTGGGGAGTGGGTGCCCCCCCTGGCTCCTTCCCAGTGCCTCAGCCTTCTGCTCTCAGGTTCCCATCTCTCTCCCTGCGGGGGCTCCCCGCCTCCCCCTGCGGTTCCCGTGGTTCCCCAGCGAGATGGCTCTCCCCGCTGCACACGGCTCCTGAGCTCAGCCAGAGCCGGGGGCGGGGAGCCTGGCGCTGGGCCCCGCGCCTACGGACGTGCCCAGGTGCCCAGGGCCTAGCAGCCGGACCCCAGGTCCCAGCAGCTCCCCGGAGGAGCAGGCAGCCAGCGGGGCCTCACCCGCCGTGGTCTTGTCGCCGGTCCAGATGAGATTCTTGGCCTTCACCACGACCACGGTGAGGCGCTCGGCCGTGGGCAGGTAGCTGAGGGACAGCAGGATCTCGCCCACGGCGTCGGCGGCCTGCGGGACCGGCAGGTGGCTTAGAGGACTCTCCCCCGACAGGCCCAGGGACAGCCAGCAGCTTCCTTCCCCACCGAGAAGCTGCTGCTCTGGGGGCCCCTCCTGCCAGGCACCCCGCTCCATGAAGCAGGCGCCCTCCCCCCTCACCACTGCGGTCGGCCCTGGGGGAAGGCGGAGGGTGCCTGTCACGGGCGGCGTCCACGTGCAGTCACGTGGCTGCGGGAGACACTCGGCCAGGAGCACACAGGCCATTCAGGGAGGAGACCGTGTGCTTACATGACAGCGATGCTCCAAGGCACTCTGACACCGACAAAGGCCCACTGCGGCTTGGCCTCCGTCTGAGACACCTCGCGGACGCCCCTCGGGCTCGGAAACTAAGTCAGGGAGCCCTGGAGGGGACAGCTTCCAGGGTCCTGGAGGCGGGAGCGGTGGGAGAGCTGTAAACGGGGGTCAGGGGGCTTCTCACGTGCATGCGGTGCACGGAGCCTCCTTGAGCGTGGCTCAGGCCTCTCTCTCTCATTTCCCGGAGGTGCCGGTGTTCGGGGAGCTGGCGAGGACAAGGGGTCCCTCCTCTGGGGCGTACGGGGCGGGCGGGGGCGGACTTGCCTTGTTCTGGTCCTGCAGGTAGAGCCAGCCGCTGAAGGGCTGCAGCGGGAGGTCCAGCACGGACAGCTTCAGCTCCACGGCGCCCGTGCTGACGTTCCGCTCGTCCTCGTCGATGCCGAACACCGAGAACCGCAGGCTCTTCTCCTCCAGGGCCGCGGGGTCCAGGGGGACGGAGAACTTCTCGTCGAAGAAGATGGTGGAGTAGGCATTCCTCTGGATCTGCAGGGAGAAGGGCCCCGTGGAGGGCACGTCACAGGTGGGGCGGGGGTGGCGGCCAGGGTCCACGGATGGAGTCTGGTGCCCAGGCCAGGGTCCTGGCTCTGCTGTCCCCACAGCCTCAGTGCCCATCCTTCTTTCGGTGGCTCAGCCGGGATGGTTTAAAAGCCCCCTGTGTGCCGGAACCGGCTTGGCTCAGTGGATAGAGCGTCGGCCTGCGGACTGAAAGGTCCCGGGTTCGATTCCGGTTAGGGGCATGTACCTTGGTTGCGGGCACATCCCCAGAAAGGGGTGTGCAAGAGACAGCTGATCAAGGATTCTCTCTCATCGACGTTTCTCTCTATCCCTCTCTCTTCCTCTCTGTGAAAAATCAATAAAATATATTTAAAAAAAAGAAAAGAAAGCTTTGCACAATCTGACCCCAGCTAAGTCCCATCCTCAGTGGCCATGGCTCCAGAGAGCCCTCACAAAGCCTCCGCTGAGCTGGTCTCCGTTGTTCTTGCAAGTGTCCAAGTCTAGCTCTGGGCGTGTGCAGTGAGTGCGGGTAACTGTGGAGCGCAGAGCCATGGATGTCCCAGCCTGCACTGAGCTGCCTCAACGCTGTGGGACGGACAGACGGACGGAGTGACTGGGCAAGGTTGCACTGATTGCCAAAACCTGTTTGGCTCAGTGGATAGAGCATCGGCCTGCGGACTGAAAGGTCCCAGGTTCGATTCCGGCCAAGGGCATGTACCTTGGTTGCAGGCACATCCCCAGTAGGGGGTGTGCAAGAGGCAGCTGGTCAATGTTTCTCTCTCATCGACGTTTCTAGCTCTCTATCTCTCTCCCTTCCTCTCTGTAAAAATCAATAAAATATATTTAAAAAAAAAAAAAAAAAAAAAAAGGTTGCACTGATTTAGTTTCCAAGCCCAGTCCTGCCCGGTGGGTTCCGCCGGCCTCCTCCCAGGAAGCTGTGGGCAGGCTCCCGGGAAGGTGCACTGGGGGGCACTGCCCCCTTCTGCGGGGAGCCACCTGAGTCACTGCCTGGTGACATTTAGAGAGAGGAGCCCTCCTTCCCGGCACCTTGCCTGGAGCTGGCTGGGCAGCCACCCCCGCGCTGGGATTGGCGGGCTGGGACGTAAGAAGCCTGCCTTCTCGGGAATATATCTCCCAGCGCCTCCAGGCCCCCTGAACCATGCTCCTGGACGCCTGCCGGGGCTGTGGGAGGCTCCTCGCACGCTGCTCTCTGGGAGCCACGCTCCCTACCCAGTCTCTTGCTTGAGAACTGAGGGCTCCTTCTCCCCTCTTTCCCGCTCTGGGGCAGAAAGCCCACCTCTGGAGCCTGACCTTAGCATCTAGGGTCATGATCTCCGGTTCCATCTCGCCTTCCTTTGGCCAAACCAGCCTCTGGGCTGTCCCCCGTTCTCCTATAGTCACCACCTTGGGCTCTGGGGTCAGCAGCCAAACCCGCTCTCCAGCGCCCCCCTCAGGCCCAGCCTGGCTCTGCAGACCGTCCTGGGGGGAGGACCCCTGAGCCTGAACACAGGTCCGCTCCGCCCGGGCAGCCCCACTCACCCGGGAGATGCCCACGATCTGCTCCTCGGGCAGCAGGCTAATGCGCATGAAGCAGGACTCGAAGCTGGTCTCCTCCCGCTCCAGAAGGTCCTTCCCCTGCAGCACGGCCACGTGGAGGGCCTGGGAGGCGGCGTCATAGTCCATGCCCACCTCCACCTGGCCCAGCGTGAAGTCCTGCCCGAAGGTGTTGCTCACGGAGGAGATGGAGTTGACGGAGTCCACGGACTGGGACTTGCGGAGGGTCCCGTAGGGGGCCAGGTCCAGCTCCCGGCCCATCAGCTCCAGCGGCCCCAGCTCGCTGATGCTCTCGAAGGTGTCCTCCATGCTGAGGCTGCCTTTGCGACTGGGTGGTCCCCGAGGGCTGGCCCGCTGGGCACCCCAGGCAGGCGCTCTCTGGAGGAGAGAGAAGGGGGCAGGGGAGCATCGCAAGGGCAATGGTGCTGAGATGGCAAAGAGGTGCCGCCATCCCTGCTCACTCGAGGCCCCTCCGAGTTCCCCTTCTGCAAACACGGGGCGTGTCTTAGCTCAGAGGGTCCCTGTTTACTGTTATTCACATCACTCAGCTTTCTCTGTAACCAGGGTGTAAGAGAGCGTTTTCTCAAAATGTTGATTGGTATAGACGGAGTTCCACACATACAGATGGGCGTTGCAGTGATGTTTACACAAAGGAAAGAGAGCGAGCAATCTCAGTGTCCAGATCAGCTACTCCATAGCCGATCCAGCAGCCTCGAAGGAAGTTTTCAACATGAGAAAACTTCCATGTTGGGTAACACTCACTCTAATATTCAAATTTTCTTTGAATATTAAGGTCTAACTTGACCTTAATATCTGAGAAAACAAAAGCCTCTGTACACAAGCATCTCCCCTGTTGCTGCACCGTCTTCATTGCCATAATTTTAATGTCCTCCCATCTCCCATTGAGTAGACAGCCATAATGTATTTTACAAACCCCCGCTATCAAGCATTTATGTTGTTTCTCTTATAAATAATGCAGCATTGAGTAGCTTTGGTAAAATCCTGACTTAGAGAACTCAGTCCTTTTGAAAGCGTTTGACACTTGTCACCAAAATGCTCTTTGAAAACCTTGTGGCGATTGACAGTTCCCCCCACAGAGTGAGAGATGGTCCTTTCTGAAACACCAAGTGAGTTACATGTGGCACCGGATCTGGCAACACATTCGGGCTGTGTTCTCTGGTGTCCACACCATGTCAGAAAAGTTCTCTACCAAGAATCAAGTGATGAAACACCCAGCAATATACACTGGGTGGCCAGATTATTATGATCTCTGAACGCATAATAATCTGGCCACTCAGTGTGTGTGTGTGTGTGTGTGTGTGTGTGTGTGTGTGTATTAGAGCATAAATTCATGCATGCATGGGATCCGGTCAGCCTGGCCAGGGGGAGGGGACATGGGCAGTTGGCCGGCCTGCCTGCTGGTCGAAATCCTGGTTGAGGGAACAATTTACATATTAGCCTTTTTAAAAAATATATATTTTATTGATTTTACACAGAGAGGAATTGAGAGGGATAGAAAATTAGAAACATCCATGAGTGAGAAACATCGACCAGCTGCCTCCTGCACTCCCCCTACCGGGGATGTGCCCGCAACCAAGGTACATGCCCTTGACCGGAAGCGAACCCGGGACCTTTCAGTCCGCAGGCCGATGCTCTATCTACTGAGCCAAACCGGTTTTGGCTACGTATTAGCCTTTTATTATACAGGATATACACTGAGTGGCCAGATTATTATGCGTTCAGAGGTCATAATAATCTGGCCACTCAGTGAATACTCAGAGCCCTGTACATTGTACTCCCTGATATGGTCATTCAACATCTGAGCATCTACTCAAAGTACATAATACCAATGAAGACACAATCTTACCTATAAAACACTCATGGCGTCATTCACGATGGCATTTAGTAAATCATGGCAGAGAAATAAAGAAGAATGCTGCATAGGCATTAAAATGATATTTATAATGGGTGTTCCACAACAAGGGAAAATGCTTCAGGTATAACTGAGATGAAAAAAGCAAGCATAAAATTCTAGCCCAGCTGGTGTAGTTCAGTGGTTGAGCCATCAACTTATAAACCAGGAGGTAATGGTTCAATTCCTTGTCAGGGCACATTCCCAGGTTGTGGGCTTGATCCCCAGTGTGGGGCGTGCAGGAGGCATTGGATCAATGATTCTTATCATTGATGTTTCTATCTCTCTCCCTTTCTCTCTTAAATCAATAAAAATATATTAAAAAAATAAAATGCTAAGTAGAAATGACACCCATTGTGTAAAGACTATGGAAAAAAGACTGGGTGTGGAGGGTTAGATAAAAATATTGGAGCCCTAGCTGGTTTGGTTCAGTGGATAGAGCATTGGCCTGTGGACTGAAGGGTCCCTAGTTCGATTCCAGTCAAGGGCACATGCCTGGGTTGTGGGCTCGATCCCAGGGGCGGAGGGCATGCAAGAAGCAGCTAATCGATGATTCTCTCATCATTGATGTTTTTATCTCTCTCTCCCTCTCCTTTCCTCTCTGAAATCAATTAAAAAAAGATTCATTATATATAAAAAAGCAAGCAAAGTGGCTGTACCATTTTTAAAAATAATGGAAATAAATAAATAAAAAGGCTAATAGTTCAAAAACAAACACACAAACGGTTAACTGTTGCTTGCCTCAGAGTGGTGGCATTTGGGAAAGAGGTTTCTTTTTATTTATATTTTCCTTTACAGGGTGTCTCCAAAAATGCACACACGTTAGCATCTGATCGCTCAATTTTGAAAATGAAATGTATTTTAATAAGCACTGCCTTATTCACAATGTGTATATACATTTTATGAGACACACTGTATTTTTCACAGGATGGTTTTTTTAAATTGAAACCATTCAGTCATTCATTTAACAAGTAATTCACGGATCCATTCCACAAGTGGGCACTGGGCTGGGCTGGAGATAGGAAAGAGGACCGGGGCCCTGTTCACAGGAGGGAACTAACCAGGAGGGAGCGAGGTGGGGCGGGAGTGGAGGTTGATCCTGAGAGCAGGCAGTGGGGGCGAGGGGAACACCACTCTGTGTGCACCTACAAGAGGGGAAGCCCCGAGCGCCATGAACACACGGGAGGAGGGGTATGCAGGAAGGTAGCCTTGGAAGTAGCTTATCCTGTCTTGCAGTTTGAACAGAGGGGCGATTGGACTCAGAGTCTGAGTTTCATCACCAGGTGCCTCTCATAAACTGTGGGAGCTTACAGCAGGGAAAGGAGGCCCTTCCTTGTCCGCACACTCACCAGTGTTATGGGTGTAATCAGCTAGTCGTTGACGATGTTAATAAAAGGAAAAGGAGCCAGGGAAGCCAGGAATTGCTGAGCATAGTCAGCGGCCAAGGAGAGGCCTGTTTGTCTCACCGGCTTCACATTCAGGGAATCGCAGCATCAGCATCGTCCCTCCCAGGGCATTCACACCCTCCTCCCCCTGCAGTGCTGGGTTGCGGGTGTGTGTGTGTGTGTGTGTGTGTGTGTGTGTGTGTGTGTGTAGGGGGAGATAGGCATATGCACAGAAGTCAGGGTGGTGCAGGGGACGTGCCTGCCTGTCAGTCTATCTCAGGGAACAATGGATTTGCTAGGAGCTCCCCCCCCCAAAAAAAATAAATAAATAAAAATACAAGGGCAGAAGCCTCACCTTCTGCCTGGCCTCTGCCGTCTCGCCGTACTTCCGCTGCAGGTACCTGAAGTTGTAGTTGGGGAAGGGGGAGGGGCTGGGGAAGCTCCCCGATGTCCAGAGCTTCCACAGGCTCACGGCCGTGATGCCGAGCAGCGCCAGGGCCCCCGCGGCGTAGACGCCCACCTCCCAGTCCGGTGGGCTCTTGATGACTAAAAGGCAAAAGCGGCCTCTCGTCAGGGGGCCCCGGGGCCCCTCTGGGGTTACAGACCCGCCCAGGGAGCAGGGGGCTTGGCACTGACTGACTCGCTCACTGAAGGTCACTGAGCGCCTTCTGTGGGGCAGGCGAGGGGCGAGGGGCTGGGGTTACGTTGCATAAGAAGACACTCTTCTGTGATTTCTGCTTTTATCCTCCCCCCCGCCCCCCCCCCCCCCCAAAAAAAAAAAACAGACGTTCCTACTGTGAGTGACACTTGGCCAGAGCAGGTGAAGAGCTGTGAACCCTGGCTAACTATTGGCTTTACACAAATAGGCTTGTTCTTGCCTCTGTGAGTTCTCAGACCTCACCCTTCAGAGGACCTGTTTCCAGATAATCAGAGCAGCCTTTTGGGGTTTGGGGGGAAGGAAAGGGATCTGGGGGACAAAAAATGATCCCCCCCTTTTTTTTTTTTTTACCTCAAACCTCATCTAGAACAACACGGTGTCCAATCATGCATGGATGGGTAAGTATATAGCATATCTATGTAATATTCAGCAATAAAAAGAATGAAGCACCACCCTGGCCGGTGTGTGGCTCAGTAGGTTGGAGTACCAGCCTGTGTACCAAAGGGTCTCAGGTTCCATTCCTGGTCAGGGCACATATCCAGGTTGCAGGTTTGAGAGCGTGTGCAGGAAGCAACTGATCAACGTTTCTCTCTCTCCCACTCTCCCTTTCTCAAGTCCATTTAAAAAAATATTTTTAAAGGAATGAACCTTGACATATGTTACGTGAATGAACCTTGAAATCATTATGTTAAGTGAAACAAGCCAGATACGAAAGACCATATGTTGTATGATTCTATTTATATGTCCCAAACAGGCAAATCTACATAGGCAGAAAATAGGCAAGCGATCGTCAGGGGTTAGGGGGGTAGAGAGGAATGTGGAATATGGGGCCTCTCTTGGCATGATGACTATACTCCCAAAACTGATTGTGCCAACTTTAGCCAGAATTCATACGAAACGTATTCTGGAGAAGGGCGAGGCCCAGCCTGCAGCCTGGCACGTCCCCAGCACTTAGCTCCCTGTGAGGTCTCTGCTTTCTGCAGGGAGACCCGAGGCTGGGAGAGGCAAAAGAACACACTTATCTAGGGGCCCAAGGCCACAGGGCGAGAAGGCCAGGTCACCCAGCCTCTCTGGGCCAGTCTCATCTGGAAAAAGAGGGCCACAAAGCATCCCCGTCCAGTGGTGCCACCCGGGCATTCATTCTCAGGGAAACGTTCCTACAAGTTTCAGCCGGTGTGAGGCACCGAGGCCGTGTGTATAACAGCGGCCGTCGGGAAAGAGCCTGGAGGCCTGACCCGGCCTGGCACTGTCTTAGGAGGGAGGTCACCGGCCTCTGAGGATGAGAAGGGTGCCGCTGAGGCGATGGAGAAGAACCTTTCAGGCAATGTGGAGAGAGAAACGTCAATCCCCAACATGGAAGAGCAACATGGTTTTGATGTGAAAATCACACATCAAATGGCCAAGGGCTGGGCAGACTATGACTCCAGTTGCTGGAATGTAATTAGTGGGCTAAATAAAGCCACAGCGAGGACCTGGAGAAGGCCCCAGGGCCAGTCCTGCTGGGGTCGAGGGAGGTCAAGGTAGTCCGGGGAGGCTGGGGAGTGGGGGATGGGATGGGAATGTACCTTCTAAATTGGAGAGCGAGAGGCACACGTGAGGGTCTCCTGCTGAGATGTGCACAGTAGGGCCTGGCTGTTGGTAGGGGCAGGTCCGTGGGTGGGCACAGGCAATGTGCCCAGCAAGTTGGCAAAGCAGAGCCAGACCCCGCTGGGAATGAGGACCCAGGGAAATGGGGGACGGAAGCCAGAGCCTGGTGGACCGGGGGGGGGGGGGGGGGAGGATATGACAGGAAAAGCCTTGGGAAGGTAACATGAAACGAGGACCATGGAGACGCATGTATTTATCCATATCCTGGTACCAGCCTGAGGACGCGATGGGAAGAATTCCCAGGGAAGAGAGGTCGAGGGTGAGACCAGAAGTAAGCAGGAGGAGGGGCTGGCATTCTAATAGGTTCCCTCCTATTTCCTATTCGCCAGGCTCCGTGCCAAGCACTTCGTGTGTATTCACCCCCTGAGTCCTCAGAACTGTGTGAGGGAGGTTCTCCTATCATCCCCATTTCACAGAGGAGGAAGCTGAGGCACAGAGGAGGTATTCACTGTCAATCCTGCATCAGATCTGTGCTTGTAACCTCCACAGCACATCCGAGGACGCAGCCAGGGAGAGGCAGGAAGTATGCCAGGCAAAGGGCACAGCATGTGCAAAGACCTGGCGTTGGGGGAGAGTCATGTCTCCCCTTTGTTGGGCACTTTGCACAGATTAGCTCGCTGACTCTTCCCAGCAGTCCTTGAGGCAGGCCTCACTCAGCAAATGGAGGCTCAGAGAGGTTCCATCACTTGCTCAAGGCCATGCCGAGACCTGAGGGCCTGCAGGTGAGAGCCCCTGGCAGGGGGTCGGGAGAGGTGGTCCCTGTGCACAGCTCAGCCCTGGGCGGGAGGCCGCACGAGGGCAGGAGCTGAGTGACGGGAGCCATCAGGAGACCTGGGCTCATGTCCTGACCCTGTTCCGTACTCACTGACTCTTCCCCTCACGGAGCCTCCTGTTCCCCATCTGCAAACGGGGACAGTAACTTAAGGAGAGGAGACGGTGAGAAGTGGGTCTGGTGTCATGTGACCCATCCTCAAACTCGGAGCCTGCAGGGCACACAGGGAAGGCAAGAGCGGCAGCCTAGCCCTTGGTCTGGGCCATCTCTGAGCTGAATGTCCTGTGGATCTAACACCAACCTTCCTAGTTTCCTCTCACGTGGCCCCTTGAGAGGCTCCGGGGATGGCCCCGGTAAGTGGGTTCTGTGTCACAGGCTCATCCTTAGGGGGCAGCGGGAGCGGGGCCTTCTGGGGGACCCCCTCAAGTCAAAAAGAGGGAGTCGCTTTCAGAGAAGAAGCCACAGGAGCAAAAAGATGAAGGCATTTCAGCCTGGTCCCGGCCCTCAAGGCCATGGGACCTTGAGCAAGTCACTGACGGGCCTTACCAGTAACACAGGGCCATGACGGGGGTCCCACTGCTCCCCGCACCCCGGGCCTGGCGGGAGGGTCCTGGGGGTGGCATGCTTGCTGCTGGGACTCACCGCTCAGGTGGTGTTCAGCCACGTCCACGGCCATGATGCCCGCTGTGGTGGCTGGCACTAGGAGGGAGAGAGAGTCAGAGGAGAGGGCTTCAGCGGCCCTGGCCCCAGCCCTGTGCCCGGCCTCCCTGGGGCCCTCGTGCTGTCATCCAGAGCTCACCCTGAGCCCTGAGCAGGGCCTGGGCAAAAGCAGGTGGCTTTTATGTTATTTTTTTTAAACAGCCATTGTTAAAATTGATATTAACTATTACTATTAATTTTTAAAAGATCTAGTTGGCTTTATTCAATAATTCGTGAATCGGGCAGCATCCCATCAAGTAAACAGATTACTGCTCCCTATTGTTATTTTTTAAATCGTCATCCAAGGATATATTTTTATTGATTTAGAGAGAGAAGGGAGACACACACACACACACACACACACACAGAAACATTGATGTGAGAGAAACATAGATCCATGGCCTCCTGTGTGCACCCAGATCAGGGATGGAATCCACAGCCTAGGCACGTGCCCTGACCAGGAATCAACTCACCACAGCCTGTTGGCATATGGGACGGCGCTCCTTCCAACTGAGTCACCCAACTAGGGCAATCTTAAAAAATGGTGTCGCCGAAACCGGTGTGGCTCAGTGGATAGAGCGTCAGACTGAAAGGTCCCAGGTTCGATTCCGGTCAAGGGCATGTACCTCGGTTTCGGGCACATCCTCAGTAGGGGGTGTACAAGAGGCAGCTGGTTGATGATTCTCTCTCATCGATGTTTCTAACTCTCTATCCCTCTCCCTTCCTCTCTGTAAAAATCCAATAAAAATAAAAAAAGAACTTGCCTCGTTTCCAATCAGTAAGTGACGCGTGACTGCACTTCGAATGCTTTTGTCTAAGCTGGAAAAGGAAGTTTGTACAATGTACCATTCCCCGTCCTTCCCCTCCCCGCTCCACCCGCCACGATCTGGAAGCTCATACATGCCACCACCTGAAGCCGGGGACTGCTCACGGCTCTGTTATTGCTGTTGCTAAGAGGGGAGCTTGGCTCACAGACACGTTCTAAACGGGGTGGTGGCGGTGGAAAGGGGAGGCTGGGATGGACGGTATGTGTCTCAGTTCAAGGGACATGGGAGGATAGGATAACTCCCCTCCCCCCCCCCCGAGCGTGTGTCCCTCGTGGCTCAAAGGGGCAGCGCAGACAGGGGAGGTGGGACACACAGCGGGTGTGGGGGGGAGACCTGTGGAGTGCTTTCTGATGAAGGGATCCAGTGCTTTCCTGTCCCAACGTGGCTGGGACTTCTGTCTCTTTAAAGAAAAGCCTGGATGGTTTGTGTACAGTTTCCTGATTTTTAAATGTTGCACTAGTTCACAAAAACGTAAACACCACTCAGGCGCAGTGTACACAAACAGTTGGTTGGCCTGTTCGTGGCTAGCCTGGTCGTAACCCATCCGAGCACTCTGAGGGCCCCGGCTGGGACTCCTGGGCGTTTTATTTATTATTTTTAAATATATATTTTATTGATTTTTTTAACAGAGAGGAAGAGAGAGGGATAGAGAGTTAGAAACATCGATGAGAGAGAATCATCAATCAGCTGCCTCTTCCACAGCCCCTACTGGGGATGTGCCTGCAACCAAGGTATTATACATGCCCTTGACTGGAATTGAACCCGGGACCTTTCAGTCCGCAGACCAATACTCTATCCATTGAGCTAAACCGGTTTCGGCTTCCTGGGTATTTTACAGGATCCTGAGGGTCTTCCCAGTCTGTGGCTTTGGGGCCTTAATCCAAGAAGGGTTATCCAGAACTTATGGGAACTTATGAGGCCAGTCCCAGGCGGGAGGCCCCGAGAAGCAGGACCGAGCTGGGCCCAGGGAGAAGCCCTACCAGGTGCACAGACAGCTCCTCGCCCCCAGCTCCCCTGCCGATGCTCCCGCTCCCTGAGATGTGGGTTGTCATGGTGATGGGAGGGAGGTGCTGACTCAAAGTGGAAGCTCATTCCTGGGACCTGGGCTGGAGATCATAAGACAGCGAACCCTGGCCAGACTCCTTACCCTGAGCACAGCCCTCAACCCTTTGCACATATATTTCTTATTTAATCCTCTGGCAACCCCACAGGGAGGTCTCTGATCATCTCCGGTGTGCAGAGGAGATCCTGAGGCCTGAAGGAACTGTTCAACCCGAGGCCATCTGGCTCCACGCTCCTGCCTCTGCGCTCAGCTTGCAGGAAGGCACGTGGTCTCAAAAGTTTCCTGAGAACAGGCACACCAATAGGACGCCATGTCCAAGCCTGAGGTGGCCCCGGCTCCTGGCACCGGGAGCCTGGACATTCCGAGACATGCCAACGCGCGCACACCGGCCCCAGCCTGCCTCTGCCCTGCTGGAAACCCCCGATGCCAGTGGCTTTCCTTCCTGCTCGCCTGGCACAAGCTGACTCTGTGAGAGCGGGCCGTCCTGGCATGGCCGATGTCAGGGGCGGGGAAGTCCCTGCGGCAAGAACGTGTGGCTCGGACAGACTCTGCTGATCAGATCTCTGGCTGTCCAAGGGCTCCATCTCTTCACCGCTGTCCCGTCAGACCCCAGACTCCCGCCCTGCGCACCTCTCTCCTCCCTCCCCTCCTCCCTCCCTGAGAGCGGTGATCTCAGTGACGGTGTGAGGGACTCCGGGCACACCCAGGCCAGCAGTTCCCACGGTGCCAGAGCACACCTGCCCCTCACCAGCCCGGAGCCTTGGTTGTCCTGTCTGTGAAACGGGCCTCCTGCCGAAACAGAGCGTCAGTCTGCGGACTGAAAGGTCCCGGGTTCCATTCCGGTCAAGGGCATGTACCTTGGCTGGGGGCACATCCCCAGTAGGGGGTGTGCAAGAGGCAGCTGATCGATGATTCTCTCTCATCGATGTTTCTAACTCTCTATCCCTCTCTCTTCCTCTCTGTAAAAAAATCAATAAAATATATATATATATATATTTAAAAACAACAAAACGGGGCTCCTAACCGCCCTAGCAGGGTGCCAGTGGGGTGGAATGAGAAGTAAATGTGGTTGGGCTCGGCCTGGCCATTTGTCCAAAAGCGCCCCCTGCCCCGCCCTCCTGCCCCTCTTTCGAGCTGTGGAATCTCACGGGCAGCAAGGCCAGCCTGCAGATGTGTTTCATTGGTCTTCAAGGGAATCATCAACATTTAAAAATTGGTAAAATTTCTCAAAAAAAAAAAAAAAAATCCTGGCTTCCTGTTAAAAGTTAGGTCTGGGGCTAGTGGTCTGTGGCCCCTGTATGACCCCTGAAGACAGCCAGCCCTTCAGAGCTGGCGCCGAGAAGGCTCTGCCCCTTCAGCCAGGGCACTTGCTCAGCAGGCCTGGACCTCCCTCCCCCCGTCCAGTCCGTTGCCAGGACCTGAGGGAAACAACTCCCGGGAGCCCAGTAAGCAGGTCTTCAGAGGAATGAGGGGGAGGGGACATTCAGAAAGGTTAAGGGAGTCGCCCAAAGCCACGGAGCCAGCAATGGGGGAGCTGGGCTTGGCAGCCATTAGTAGCCACAGCCCCCGTGCCAAGGAGTTCATCTCCCCCAAGACCCAGCAAGGGCACATCCTGTGATCGACCCCACTCCACAGAGGAGGAAAGGGAGGCTCAGAGAGGGCAGTGGATTAGCCCAAAGTCACATGACCCGTGAGCAGAGAACAGAGACCGAGCCAGCTCTGGCTCTGCCTCAGCTCCCTTCTTACCGGCAGCACGCACTGTGCCTGAGCCCCCGGGGCTCCCTCGGGCAGCCTGGAGGTCTGCCGGGCAGAGGGCCTGCGGCTTTGGCTCGGAAGAGGATGCTGAAAAGGCACATCCAGGGCCAGGGCAGCCTGTGACCGGGGCTCCCCCAGCTTCTGACACACAGGAAATGGGGCTCAGCGGGGGTGAGGGGTGAGCCAGGGCTGCCCCAGACCCGCATCTGAGTTCCTCAGACCATGTCTCCTTCCTGGTACCACCCCTCACAGTCTATCCGTCCCAGCTCCAAAGCCCCAGCCCCTCACCTGCACGGAGCGTGCTCCTTAGAAACAGCGCCAGGTGCAAACCCAGGCGTAATCGTATCTCTCTGATGCGGTAAGAGTCAGACATCATAGATGCTAAAGTCTCACCACACGCCTGGCCCGTAGCGGGCACAAAGTACGGATCTGATGATTGAACGGACAAATGGATCCCCGTGTTAAGGATGGAGACGCCGGGGCCCCTGGTCACTCCGCATATGACTAACAATCCCGGGCCTGGCGCCAAGGAGCGATGGATGTGGGCCCGGGCTCCTGGCCACCGTGCCACATCCTGACGAGGCTTCTGGGGGCGGAGGTGGGCGGGAGGAACTGCCTTACAGTCTGACCACAGTCAGGGCCCCTCCGGAGCTGGTCAGAGGAACGGCTTTCCAGGAATTCCGGGCCTCTGCAGGGGCCTGGGGCCCTGTCTCTGCTCTCCCACCCCGTGTCCTCGCTCTCTGTGTCTCTAATCACAGCTCGGGTCAGCAGGGGTCCGCTCCCTGTCCCCTCGCCCTGAAGCCAGCAGGCCGAGGGGAAGGTCGGGGCTCCCAGGCTGAGAAACTCTTTAGGTCTGAGGTTCCTTTCAAGGGCTCCCGTTTGCTGAGATCACCCCATCCGACTCATCCCCCCACCCCCAAAGCCACAGGAACATAGTACGGAGGCCAGGGTGGCGGCCAGCATTTGCTGGCCACCCCTAGGACTTGCCATGGATTATTTCAGCGAACCCTCCCGCCGTCCTGTGGGGGGGCTGCGGCTTTGACCGCGGCATCTGTGGGCAAGAACACGGAGGTGCGGGAAAGGACCTGCCCACAGGCACCAGCGGGGACAGGAGGCCGAGCCCAGGCGTGAACCCCAGTGGGCTGGGAGCCCCCATGCTCCCAGGCTGATGTGGGGGAGGTGGGGACTGGCTGAGCTACTGGAGTGGATAGACCCAGGCCTGGTCTGGGTGAGCCTCAGTTTCCCCGTTTCTGGTAGGAAGCAGCTGCTCGCTCGCGCTCTCTCTCTCTCTCTCTCTCTCTCTCTCTCTCTCTCTCTCTCTACCTGTCTCCC